GGTAACCCTACCACTGAGCCTGTGGTGGATACCCCTGTGACAGACAGGGTCCTGGGCTGGGACCCGATGGAGTAAGGAGGGCCTGGGTCACCCTACCCTGGCTGCCACCTCCCCTCCCCTCGCCTTGGCTGTGCTACCCTGCCCAGATGGGTAGTTCTGTTCACTCTGGCCCCTAGACAACACTGCCATGCAGAGCAGGGTAGTCCCATTGATTCCAGCCACTAGGCCGCACTGCCCTGCCTAGAAGGGTAGTCCTAGTGACACTGGCCACTGGGCCACACTGCCCTGCAGCACGGGGGTAGTCCTATTGTCTCTGACCCTTGACCCACACTGCCCTGGGAACCGGGGATACTGTGGCGGCTCAGGAGATTAGGCCACTTGGGCTGCCTAAGCTCTACTCTAATTCCCCCACAATTCGACACCCCCTTACAGGGTGTACCTGACCCACAACACAGTGAATGGGGATGGAGATTGAAGTACCCTTTCATTGCTTCTGGTGCTTCAATACTAAGGAGATAGATTGTTGTAAATACCTTAACAGCTGCTCAGTCCCTCTCTGCAGTATATGGTTGAGCTAAAGTCAAGGGAACTTGATCTGCCACTGCCCATACTATACCTGCTGTGGGGGTAGAGCGGTCCTCAGTCCTTAGATCTGTCAAGATAGTACTTTTTATGAGAGCTACATTCACTTAATGAAATCAAAAACATATCAATATATTGTGTATGGCTATGTGTGGCTCCACTGTGACATTACTCATTGCTTCCAATATTAGTTATTTCTACCGAAACAGTTGATGCTTCTTTTGGTCATCTACCACTGTCTTGAACTTCTTTGATCTCAGATAATGATACACAGCCAGGTGGTTGGTGTCATGGATTCATCTAGTCCGTGTACAGTGTGATTCTTCCCTCCCCCCGCCAACTACTATCTTGTCTTTTGTTTCCAAGCACCAACACTAATAGGTACCTTTTAACTGCAGCAGATGTAGTCAGATTCCTAGTTTGGTATAAATATCTGCCAACATGCAGATTCAGCCAACATGCAGTGGAATGGTGTACGGGAATCTCTTTCATATTGCTTTCTTGTTGCCCAGAATCTCAGCTTAACAAAAAATAAGTCTCTAGCTGTTACGATTGCTGAGATACACTTGGGACACATGTGTGAGGTTAACTGTATTTACAGAATCTGAAACAATAGTCCTGAAGTGCAAACTGTTCCATTCATCTCCATAGGTGCTAACTCCGAGGACAAAGACCACACTTTAAATGTCAACATTAACTTCCTGCTCAACAAAGAATATAAGAGAGGGAGGATCATATTATGAAGATGTGCACAGTCTAATGTGCATGACAACTCATGTTGGAATTTCCAGAGAGTGGGCTTGGGGGAATACTTCCATCTTCTCCCCCGCCCCCTTCCCTAGTCAAGAAGGAGCTTTGCCCAAGGAGCCTAGCAGGGCTCAGTGGGACAGCTGAGTCCCCTCCATGATGTGCCAAGCTTAAGGTTAGGTCCACACTTAAAACACATCCTAGCAACATGGATATACTGACAAATACCCCAGTGTAGATGCAGTTATGCTGCTGGAAGAGTGCTGCTGTCGGCATAGCTAATATCGCTCAGGCAAATGGTGTTCCTACACCATCAGGAAAAACTCCTATTGGTGTATGTTGTGCCTACACGAGAGGGCTACATGGGGCATATGAGCCTCACAGAGGGGATGCTAGTACCACTACCTTTCCCCCCGAGACCCCTGCCCCCAGTCTGTAGTACAAACATGCTCAAGACTTGGTGTGCTCTCTTTTAAATAAACAGTATCTTTGATAGGACATATCCTAACCATCTCAACCTTTGCCAACAATTATTTCTGCTTAGACATGTTGGGTGAAATCCTGGCCGCACTGAGGTCAATGGCAAAACTCTCACTGATTTTGAGGGAACTAGGATTTCACCAATTTTATGATTATCACAGATCTCATAAAATTCCAGCATATCTTAAAAACTTTGGAATACCTGAATATTACTTAAACTGAACAGGAATTTATTCATTGCTGTGTGTTCTCAGTGATCCATGCTCCAGAGAGTTGAAATATATTGTTTCACCATGTTCTCCAGGGTCCTGGGACAATGACTGTGAGAGGGACACAGCATGTATAATGAAATTACTAGCAATCTTCCATCAGCTGAATGAAGAAACATCTAAATGTAGAACTCTGATCTGACTGTTCTCCTAGGGGTATCTTCCAGACAGTATACATATTCTGACTGGTCACAATATACATCTCTGTTATCCTTAATTTTAGGACGTGTCTATATTTAAAAGCTCTTTATGCTGGCTTTTATGCTGCTGGAGAATGGACTTATCTATATAGCCCCATAAATTTTAGCCAGTGCTTGGTCTGTCATTTGCTATAATATTTAGCTTTTCAGTATGAAAAAGCAAATGTAAACAGTTTTCTTTTTCAGTGAAAGGACTCATACTAGTGTTCAAATGAAGTAATTTGAAAAAGGGATAATAGAGTCACTGTAGGGTGGTCTGGTGAGATCCTGCCCTATTGTAGAGAGAGCTAGTAGCAATCCCTATACATAGTGTTTTCATTGTAAAATCCTGGTTTCAGTTGCTGATAACTTTGTCAAACTTGGATATGGTGGTTTTGGTGTTTGTACTTGTTGGCATGCCTCCAGTTTTAAGCTTTTGAATAAAATCAGCATGCATGTGCTAAATTTTCTGAAAATTCCATTTGTACTGGGCATGTTCCAGTGGAGGGCTCCAGGGGCTAAATAGAACTTTTTCTGCAATTGCTCCTCCTAGCAGCCAAACAGCCTGGGGCTGTATGGTGCCAGGAACAGAAACTGAGAGCAGGGAAACTGTCCTGTGTTCCTACTGCAGTTGACTGGAAGAATGAGAAAGATAAATGACTGGAATGCAGAGGGGTGATAGGGGAGGGCAGAGACAAACTGTGGCAGTGGGATGGGGTGGGGGAGGACATGGTGCAGAGACAGACTGTGGGGCTACACACAGGGCAAAGGGAGTAGAGTCAGGCTGGCAGGGTACCTGATAGGGGAAGAGGAGACCTGTGGAGGGACAGTGAAGGAAGAGTCTGAAACCATTACCAAACACTGGAATAGAACCCAGGATTCCTGAGTCCCAACATTTCTCTCCTTACAAAGAGCTGTGAAACCCAGTAATAAAGTGTCCTTTCCCTCTTGTGTCTGGTTTACACAGTGGATAATAGCCTGCTATTACTAGCAGTTACTCCATAAGCCCCAGTGATAGTGGTTTGTGTCATTAATGGAAAGGTTCCAACCCTATTGATGACCCTGTTTTGAACATATAGCGTGGTAAAAATGCTAAGTATTCTGAAAATTGGACTTTCGGTTCCTGAAATTGGATTCCTGAAATTGATGGACAATGATAATTTTTGGCTCTAATCTCTTTGTTCCTCATTTCCCCATCTGTAATATAGACATAAGGATGCCTCACTGCATAAGAGGGTGGTGTGAAGATAAATTTACTCATGTCTGGGAGGCCTGTAGCTAGCACAGTGAGGAGTGCTACCGGGAATTAATTCTGTATTCAACACTTGCTGAATGCCAGGCAGTAAAGGCCACACATTGAACCAGGTGTATAAAATTAACACTGCCCAGTCAACAAATACCCGCCATGGGGGCAGGAGCCAGTGGTGCTGGAACTAGGGGTGCTTGAGGTGGTTTGCATTATATACAGGGGTTACCGTTTGGTTCAATGGCTCTCAGCACTCCCACTATATACATTAAAAAGAAGAACAGGAGTACTTGTGGCACCTTAGAGACTAACAAATTTATTAGAGCATAAGCTTTTGTGGACTACAGCCCACTTCTTCGGATGCATATAGAATGGAACATATATTGAGGAGATATATATACATTGTTCCAGGGCCCCCGGCAAGACCGCTGTGGGGAAAAGTCAATGGGATCATGTAATTGAAGACTACCATAATTTAGAAGCACCCAGGGGCTGGACTAGGTGCCACACACAGGCCAGCGAAGTCCCTAACTCGCCCGCCGGCTGGCCTGGAACGCAGCTCGCTGGGTGTAATAGGTTCCCGCCCGCCCGCACCCGCGGGGCTGGGCGGCCTGTGTCTTTGCAGCCCTCGGCAGGCAGCTCGCTGGGGGGAAGCTTGGGGTTGCTGTCGCAGCCCCCACCACTGGGCGGACGCTCAGTGCCCGGCTCCCATTGCACCTGGAACTGGCGCAGCGCCGAGCCCACCCCCTGCCGCCCCCACGCCGCTGCGCTGTCCTGCCCCCCCTACAGCTCCTCATGAATATTCAATAGGACGGCCCCGCCCCCCGACGGCCATTTGTGTAGCCGCGCTGGAGCCGCCGCTGCTCTCACTTGGCCCGTGGCCGCCGCGGTGAGGAGCCGGCTGGGTTGGGGCCGGCAGCGCGGATCTGCTCCCCGCCCTGCGGAGCTCTGGGCGCTGCTACTGCCGCCGCGACCCCGCCCGAGGAGCCGGAGGACCAGGAGCGGGGCCTGCGGTTTCCAGCCCGGCCGGAGACGGCGGCGCAGGGAGGGACCCGGACCCGGACCCGGCGGCGCTGCTCGGCTCGGCTCCCCGATGGCCGCGGGCTGCAGGGACGGGCCGGGGCAGGAGAAGTATCGGCTGGTGGTGGTGGGCGGCGGCGGCGTGGGCAAGTCGGCGCTCACCATCCAGTTCATCCAGGTGAGGCGCGCCGCGCCGCGCGGAGCCTCCGGGTCCGGGCTCCGGGGTGGGGCAGCCCCAGCGCCCGCCTGGCCGCCCCCGGCAGCCGGGGGGTGGAGGAGAGGCCGCGCGTTGCCTTGTCCCCAGGGGCGCCGGGGCGGGGGCCTGGTCACTGTCCTGCCTGCAGTGCCCGGTAGCGGGTCTGGCCCGGCCCTGCTCCGCTCCGTTCCCCAGGCATTGTCGGGGGGATTTGGCCTTGGCCTTTTCCCCGGGCACTGGTGGGGGTCTTTCCCCCGGGGGGGGGGTGTCTGGCCTTGCCCTGTTCCCCGGGCACGGGTGTGTGTGGTGGGGGCGGTCCTGTTCTCTGTCCCTGCTTGCTAGGCACTGGCGGGGGGCGGTTTCTTTGGGGGAGGGGCGTGTTTGCTGCGGGGGGGAGGTCTGGCCTTGCCCTGCTCCCTGGGCACGGGGGGTGCTTTACCTGGTTTGGTGGGCGGTCCTGTTCCCTGCTCCCTGGGCACTGGCAGGAGGGGTGGCTTTGCCTCAGGGTGGGACATGCCCTATTCTTTGGGCACTGGTGCGTGGTGGTGGCTTTGCCCGGGATGGGGCGCCTGCCGTGTTCCCATGCTCTGAGGGGGCAGGGGCTGGACACTGCCCAGTTGGCAGAGCTCGAGGTTGGGGATGCTGATGTGTAGAACTGGCTGAGGCTGTGAGAGCTGGTGGATTGAGGTTTGCAATGTTTGAAGAACCAGGTTTTAGACCAATGACTTTCAGTGTGACCTTGAGCCAGTGCCTTGGCCTCTTGCTGCCTCAGTTGTCCTCATCTGTGCAACAGTGTGAAAGTTGCTTTTCCAATATACTTTCTAGATGCATTGTGAACTTTAGATCTAGGTGGCAAGCAAACACCAGGGAAGCTTCTGGAGTGAGAGCGTTGCCCAATGCCACACCTCCTAGTTGGATGTTTTCATAGAGCTCTGTTTGAAACTAGTTTTTCCTTTCCAAGCTCAGTGGTTGGACATGTGTAGTATTCTGTTATATGTAATGTCCCTTTTGGGGGGGCAGAGGTGTTACCATTCATATTTGCATAGTACCTGAGGATAGGCTCCCTTCCTACCAATTGCAATATTTTTAAATGCTTTCCCATTAGAATTTGCTGCTTGTAGCATTGTCTGACATGTCATTGGTATCTAATGGCTTTCCCCAGCTAAAAAGGCTACAACAGTGAATGAACTCTATACAACTGAGGGGAAATAGCGAAGGGTTTCACTTGTATGTCAGAAGCTGCTACCTGCTGGACAGTAACTACTAAAGATAACAGATTGTGGAAAATGAAGAGACCTGTTAGAACTTGTTAACAGGAAATTATATACTTGGAAATAAACAATAAAATGGCTGGATTTATGAGGGCAATGGAGGTTTAAGGATAGAAGGGTGGCTGGTGGGCATGCATAGCAAAGTGAAGGAGAATGTTGGAATTCTGGCCTCTGTCCAGCTGAATGTTTTTATTAAAATGAGTGATTTACCTAATGATGTTGACATAATAAATTGTTCAGCTGCAGAGTTGCCACGTTCAGAATGGGGGTGGTTTATGCCTCTCAGTTGCTTCCATCTATAGACACACTAAGCATAATATAGGATCAAATTTAGAAGGCTTTTTTTTTGTAACAATATAGGTTAAAAAGAGAGAATTCTGCAAGGACTCATAGACTTGCTAGAGAAGTACTGACGTGCTGTATAGCTGTTGACTGGCTCAAGTCAACCCTGTTTGAGGCTATGTCTTAGCTAGAAATGCTAAAGCTGGGCTGCTGTAACCCTTCACTAGACATGCACCATAGGCATGGGTGAGCTCCTCCCATCACTGAAGTTAATCCACCTCTCTGAGAGGTGGTAACTAGGTTGACAGAAGAATTCTCCAGGGCATAGGTTGTCTTAACTACTCTGCTCAGGAGTGTGGATTTTTCACACCCCTGAGGGATGTAACTGGGTTGAGCTAATTTTTTAGTGTAGACTTAGCCTGAAGCGCATCTAAATTGGTTTGTTGCTGTGTGCTTAAACTCCAGATCTTTAGAGCCACTATTCTGTTACTTTCCTGCTTCAGGAAAAGCAACAGAACAGGTAATAGGGTTTATGTATTTCAGTCCTATTAGAAATGTCCCCTTTCCTGTTTTGCCTTTTTCTTCACCCATATCTCATTTAACTTTTCTCTCATTCCTCTTCTCCGTTTCATTGCTTTTGATGTTTGTAGTACGGATTTGAAGGCATTTAAAAAAACAACCCTCTGTAGCTGTTCACATCATACCTGGGTACTTTTAATTTTATTCATTGTGCTGGTATGGATGACAGTGGAGCAACATCTTGTGGGAAAGGAAGGTGTATGGGGTGGATTTTCAGTACACTTCTTCCCTCTAGATAGGCGTATGACAGCAGTATAGAAAGTGCTACTTGGAATCCTAATGTCACCTTTGTGCATGCTCATTTAGCCATATTAAATAACGTTCTGATGGGGTAGTAGAATCTGCAGCGTGAGCCAACTGGGGTTTTCTGTACAACTTTTTTCCAAAGCTGGGAAGAGGCATTGGGTATATGATCGCCTAGAAAAGCCAGTGTTCTACAAGGTGTTATAATTGGTCTTTTAAAAGCTACTTATAGTCTTAATAACAATTGATATCCTTGTTGGACAGTTGAGTTGTACATTTAGGGCTATTTGGATGAAGCATTTTAAGCCAGAATGGAGAAACTGCGAAGTAGAAACTGAAATTCAGTCATTAAATGAGCCATAAGTATCTGTTATGTGATGTAGCTGCCTTTATTTGATGGACATATTGTTTTTGGCTAGGTGCCAAATTTTATTTTTGGTTATTAGTTTGGAGTACTGCAAAGTTTTTTTTTTTTCTGCTAGTGTTGCAGGAGAGTAATCCACACAGAGGTGGTAAGATTAGAATAATTGTAAACCTTTTGCTAAATCCTTCCTTGCTTGTAGATGCAGATAATTAGTTTATCCCTGGATGAGTGAAGCTAAAATTTACAGATTACCATTCAGGTTCAAATTTGGTACTGTTGCCTTAGATGGTATTGCCTGAGCAGCCTTGCCTGCACACACACATTACATGAAGCAGGCAGTACGTGGGTATAGCAGCACTAGTGCTAAACAAGGTTTAACTGCAAGTATGGCGCTCTGGATATCCGTGTGTGACCCAAGGGTTTGTTTTTTGTTCATGTTTTCTTGGACTTGATTCCTATCCGGTGCCTTTAGTGCTATAGGGTATTGCAGGTGCTGCTTGTGACTTGAAGAGGATGGGAGGGGACTGTCATCTTGTAAGAGTCCTTATAGGAGAGTTTGGTTCTTAAGGTGTATCTACACTTGGAACTGGGGGTGTGATTCCGAGCTCCAGGAAACATACTTCCACTTGCTTTCATTAAGCTAGTGTGATAAAAATGTAGCCTCCGTAGGATGAGTTAGCTACTGCGAGTATATGCCTGGGGTCTCTGGGCAGCAAGTACCTTGGGGCTGCTAGCCCAGTGTTTCTCAAATGCAGCCACCAGGGGCTTTTCTTGTGGCTGTAGTCTCCTGGGTGGTGAATGGGGCAGGGGGGGCGCAAAGCAGCAGCCTTTCCCCAGGGCTAACAGCAGGGGTTGGGTCTTGCACCCTCTGGGGAGACACATGTTGGCAGAGCAGGCAGCCAGTGAGTTCCCCACCTTCCCGGGGGAAGTGGGGTCAGGCTTCCACCCTGGGGCAGTGAGCGGGAAGCTCCAGCTGCATGGTTTTGGGCTCCATCTCTGGGCTCTGTCCACTGGGCTTCGTGCTCTGTCCCTCAGCCATGCAGCAGTGGGCTCCAGCTCTAGGCTCCTTCCCCCCCATTGCCCCAGGTCCCGCTGCCTCCCTACCCACATTCCCATCTAGGACTTAATTTGTCCCCGAGCTTGCTGGGCCAGAGTAAGTCTGCTTTGGAAAGTGATATTTGTATGTTAATACAAATTTTCACAGCAGACTTAGTAGCTAGCTTGGAGGCTGTGAAAAGTGATATTAACATACAAGCGTCACTTTTCACAGCTTACTAGCCAGCAACTCTTTTTATATATATTTAAAAAAATGGCAACAAGAGAAGCAACAACAACAAAAGAAAAACCTTATTTGTGTGTCTATTCTTTACTGGACCTAAACAGAAGAGAGACAACTGTACATTATTTTTATTAGAGTCTGCAAAAAAAAGCTTGCATAAATAAATTACAATAATTTGGACGTGTATATGTGCATATTTATTTGTTTTTCCTAAAATTAATTAAATATTTTAGGCGAAATTGTTAGTGGCCACTGGTAAGAATTGGTGGCTACACTCTGAGGCCACCAAAAAAATTGAGAACCCCTAGCCCTTCCCACTGCTTGCACTGCAGCAGCTACCTTCTACTTTTAGTTCGCTAGCTGGATGAGAGCCAGCAAGAGTAATCTCCTTGAGCTGGAAATTATGCCCGCTGCTCCAAGTGTAGACATACCCTTAGAATTTAAAGCATTTTTAAAGTTGGTTCTTCAATACTTGCTATATGGTTCTAGGGAAAGTAAAAGATGTTATTTAATAGGTCGCTCTTGTCACAGGACCAGGGACTAGAGCAGGGATTGGCAACCTTTGGCACACTGCCCGCCAGGGTAAGCACCCTGGCGTGCCGGGCTGGTTTGTTTACCTGCCGCGTCCGCAGGTTCGGCCAATTGCGGCTCCCGCTGTCCATGGTTCGCTGCTCCAGGCCAATGGGGGCAGTGGGAAGCGGCGTGGGCTGAGGGATGTGCTGGCCACTGCTTCCCGCCGCTCCCCTTGGCCTGGAGCTGTGAACCGTGGCCAGTGGAAGCTGCGATCTGCCGAACCTGCAGATGCGGCAGGTAAACAAACCAGCCCAGCCCGCCAGGGGGCTTACCCTGGCGAGCTGCGTGCCAAAGGTTGCCGATCCCTGGACTAGAGGCTAGGAAGGCCTTATGTCTACAGTGTTACAAAGGCAGTTGTCTTGTAGCATAGGGATTCATTCTTTTGCTGCTT